GCTAAATGCCAAAATCTAGCAAAGACTCTCGGCCCGTGGTCACGAAAGTGCTGGAGCCATCTGAGGATCTAAAGAACACGCACACGTAGCAAGAAAAAGGTGTACAAGAGCCCGAAGAGGTACTACTACACCTATATATAATCCCTGCAGCACCGTACGCGTGCCCAAAACTGAACTACACGTCCGTCTCACCGTTCGACTACAGCAACATCGTGTGTGTGGAGTCTATGTTTTCTGCCCTGGGTTGTGCGTGTGTGTGTTTCGCGCGTGCGGAGTACCGGCACTATTGGGGGTGACAGCAGTGCCGAACCGGCACTATATCGGGCATGCTTTAATTAGTGCCGGTCTGGCACTATTGAGAGCTCCGCCTGTGTGCAGAGATTTTACCGGCACTATACCGGGCATCTGGCACTGTTCAACCGGCACTAAAAGGGTCCCTCGACTGTATTGACATGCAGAAGTCCATTCGAGTCCGAAACACAGACCCGAACAAAAAAAATACTTCGTATACATATATGGGAACCGTAAAATATTGTATTAGTATTTTTATGGTTGAGTCATGGCTAGACAATACTAGGATACCAGTGTCAAAGCAACGGCAGACGAATACAGAAGAAATTAGAGAAAAAGGAACACGACATACAACACCAACAACGAGGAACGAAGTCAAACGCAACAGACAGGTAAACAGACGAGCAATTGTAGCACAGACACGCAGTACATCGGTGTACGCAAAGCTACAATATGCACACCGGGGGAAGCAAACAACAGCATGGTTCACCTGTGAGCGAGTTGTTGTTGAGGTGAAGGACCTTGAGGTTGGAGAGCGCGCTAAGGTTGGGAGGGACGTCACCTGAGGAACGGAAGGAGACCATTTGTACAGTACCACAAGAGATCGGGAGAGAAATAGGCAGGGACTGTAGAGACACGGTCTACACCGTTCAAGCATGTTTGTGTCAGGGAGGGCGGGGGATACTTAACACTCCAAACAGCGACCCACAAAAACCCAGCACTGAGCTGCGGATGTCTTTCGTTGTCGAAAAGTAGAAAGAACATAGGAGCGAGAATGGAGAAGAGAGAGAGAGAGAGAGAGAGAGAGAGAGGACAAGAGGGAAAGAGACGGAGCGTGTGTGTGTTTTCCTTCAATATCTTCCGCGTAAAACCGGCCGACCAATGATAAAACCGGTTGACCAACAGTAAGGCCGGCTGACAAACCATAAAATCGGTTTCAGCGGACAAAAATCCTCCGAGGGCGAGATGGAGAGAGAGAGAGCGGGCGGGGAGAGAGGATTAAGGACAGACAATACAGCAAGCAGAGAAAGCATCTGTCATCGCGCGGCGGAAGGGCCGATGGACACATGCGTGCTTCCCTGACTGTTGCACCACAAGTACACGATTCGAACTTGAGAGCGGAGTACCAAGCGTGCACCACCACAGGGGAGCTAGTCAGCGGTAGGCGTTGCTACAGCCGCTTGTCAAACACATACACAAGCCCCAATTACTTAATTGGCTTCTATGTCGCCTCGCAACGCCCATTCACCGTGATTGGTGTTTGGACGTAACATGTGACATTTTGATCTGTTTGCTTGCTTGGCTTGCAGGAGGGGAACGAGGGCTGACTTGCTCTCGAACTCAAACGGGTTCTAAAGGCGGTACCCAACAGAGTCGAAATCAAAAGGGGTTGCAGACAGCACTCGCTTGGACTACATACAGCAGCGGTGAGATCAAGATATATTATTGGCACCAACAACGTCAATTGCAAATGTTCTGTTCACCACGCCGGGAAAGGAACAAAAAACGAAAAAGCTTTAACGGAAAGAATCGAGCGGGGACCCATTCGGCCACGTAGCCACCCATTCACACTTTGGGTACTGTGACATAGATATGTATAAATCCATATATGTTGAACTTGCGGTAAAAGACGGGCCGACGCATGTGTGTCTGACTGCTGCTGCACCACAAGTACACGATTCAAACATGAGAGAGGCGAGCCTGCTCCATGTAAGGTAGGCAAGTAAGACTGTACACAGATGTATAATGTTTTTGATATTCGGTGTGGTTCGATGGCGCCTGAAGTCTGAAACACGTCAGCCGTGTGGGCTGGTCGAGCTCGGACAAAGTCACAGCTAGCGGCCAGTCAATCTTTCGAGCTCTCTTGTTCATCGTTCGTCACCGCTACACGGCACTGTGCTAATGAGCCCGTCCGGAGGGCAGGCACATTTGTACTGCTATACGTATACATCAATACTGTTAGCGATGGCAGCATGCGGGGGTGTTATCCGACAACACGTTCGTAGCACTATCTCAGAATCGGCCCGGTTGCCGCGGCCGGGGTGCCTCAAAACAACAGTCAGGGAAGGAACCTGGGCCTCTCTTAGAAAGAGCGGGTCAAAACCTCAACCTTTACGAGGTGCCCCCCCCCCTCACCAGAAAGACAATTCCCGTCCAGCTCGAGCCTCACGAGGCCCACGAGATCCGACAGTTGCACGGGAATGTTCCCTGCCGCGTGCATCAACATGCGAAAAGGGTGGAAACAGGCATGGAATAAGGGTACGTACAAACAGGCACAAAGCGAGGGCGAGGAAGCCAATGCTGCTTCTTCCTGGACGTGCAAAAGGCATCAGATTGTTGCAGTATGGAGAAATGGGCTGTGGAAATAACTGTGCAAGTACGGGGTCAAGGGGAAAAAATGTGGAGAGTGCTGAAGAAGATGGCAAGAGTGTACGAAAAGCGCGGTCATGCTAGACGGAGAACTGTCTAAAGTCTGCAACATTGAACAGGGGGTCCGACACGGTTGCACTTTATCCCCAACATTATTTCAGGTGTTCATCAACGAGCTGCTGAAAAGTCATAAGAGGCAGTGGGGAAGGGAGTGAAGATGAAGGGGAAACTTCGGTGTCGGGAATGCTGTTTGCGGATGATTTTGATGGGATGTCTGATACCCCTGAGGGGACTTCAACCGCAGATTGACGAAGCGAAGGCGTTTGCTGGAAGTGGACATTGTCTGCCAACGCTGTGAAGAGTGCCGTCATGTTATGCAACGCGGACAGGGAGCAAACAGTAGAACATAGTATAGATGGAAGTGGGGGATCGAGGACGTTGCAGTAGTGGACCAATACACATACCTCGGAGTAGAGATCGCAAAAGACTGCTCGTGGAATGCACACGTGACCAAGATAGCGGAAGAGGGTGAAGCGCGAGCAGGGAAGTTGCACCCAATACTCGCAATCCGGCACCTTTGACACACGCATCAAATTGACGGTTGTAAAGAGCGTAATCATACCGCCGCTAGAGTATACGAAGGAGAAGTTGGCAAGGAAATAAGAAGGTAGTGGAAGAACTCGAGGCGGCGCACATGAAGGGAGCGAAAATCATCCTAGGATGCTCCAAGCGCACAAGTAATGCAGCCGTCAGGGCAAAATTGGGGATCCAATCCCTGCGGTCGGGAAGAGACGCAAGGAAGCTAAAATGGCAGTACCGCATGTGCCGGATGGGAGGCGAAGAGGGCAAACAAGAAGAGAGGTAGACAACCCACGGAGTGGGTCAAGGTTGCAGATTACGTATGGAAGGAGTTCGAACTTGACGAAGGTGATACGCTGGAAACGGAAGGTCTACAGGGGTTCAAGGAGAAGATATCTGTTGCATTTGCCGAGAGAGAAGAACATATTTCAACCAAAGAAACCGAGGAAGAAGAGAGTCTAGATGTGTGCGGAATGTTGAAAGAAGGAATAAGGTTCAACAAGTACCTACATGGCTCAATGGATGCAGGGACGGAGATGAAGGTCAAATTCAAGACCGGGGACATTGGTCTTCGAGAGCCTAGACGGAGATATATGAAGGTAGACGATGTCGACGACAAGTTCACATGTGATTGCGGCTCCGAGTGCAAAGACCGGGTTCATGTAGTTGCGGAATGTAATACCCGTTGTACAGGAAGGAGAGGGAAGTGTAAGTGACTGAGCTGGGAAAAGTAGAAGGATACGGGGAGACGATTGAGCCATGACATAGACGATAGCTGTACTGGGACATAAGAAGTGGGTTAAAAAGGCAGCAAGTGATATCGAGAGGATAGATAGGCTAGGGATGACGTTGTTGAGCCACCATTGGCAAAGAAGGAAGGAGCGATTTGCCATCGGTAATCGGTCCTGTGGGAACAATGTTCCATCCTCTAGAGGACGCGTGGTCAATGGTCTACCGGCTAAGGCATGCAGAAAATAAGCGTACGCCCCCCCCCTCCCGGACGCCGTGCCCCCCTGGATCTTGACTCCCACACCAGAGTCTCCAGCAGCTCTCACGCTCCTCACCGGTAAATTGGTTGCCGCTTAGCACCAGTTCCTCGAGGTTTATGAGTTGGCCGAACGATTCCGGAATCTTGCCTGCGGGGGTCACACGTAAGAAGCAGCCAAACCCGTTCAGGGGCGGTCAAACATCGCGAGCGGTGAAAAGGTGATGGATACTGTATGTACTACGCACATCAATAATGTTCTCTACGAGCGTAGTGATCGGAGGTGATGATAGGAGGAGACACAACGACCAGAGAGAGAGCGAGAAAGCGGCTGTACGGTTTTGGAGAATAAAGAGTGACACAAAAAAAAAAACGATCCTCTCCAGCGAGGCACATACCGCACACGGACATTCCGCGAATACAAAAGAGTAACACACAACACAGCTAGGATTCGGGGGTAGGGGGGGGGGNGGGGGGGGGGGGGGGGGGGGGGGGGGGGGGGGGGGGGGGGGGAGGGCGCCCGTCCCCTTGTCCCAGGCGCAGAATGCCCAGTCACCACTATACACCATTGCATTGGCCTTGGTCGAATAACGCCAGCAGACAGTGTCGTCTGCTGTTGCTGTTTGTAGCCCTCTCACCGTCCAGCTCGTTGTCCGAAAGAAAGAGTTGCTCCAGCTGCTCCAGCTGCGACAGCTCCTCGGGGATTGGCCCTGGCGAATCAGTCAGGCGTCACACGTCATTGTGTCATTCATTCTTCGCTACTCCGTCTGACAAAACAAGCGCCACCTGCCGGTGGTCTCTCGCCGTTTCGAAGCAGTGCGCATGACAAACAAAACTCTCCTCCACACAACGTTCCCGTTGTTGCCGGGATGCACATCTTCATGGAAGTGCACAACACCGGGAGATAATGTAGCGTCACGTAGTGGATGGGGGGCGTTCGGTGTTGCTGCTCTACCCCAAAACCCCAACCCCCGTCTACGCTAGCCAACGGAATACCATTCACCCCGGCCTCTACCATGGCCAAAGATTAAAAAAAGACAATGGCAAAAAGTCGACTCGACTCAGGTGTGCCGTTTGCCTTCTGTCAAGGCCTAAAAGGCAGGAAGCATCAAAGAGTGACCCCCCCCCCCCCCCCCCCCCCCCCCCCCCCCCCCCCNCCCCCCCCCCCCCTCCCAACTACACTTTGCACTATTGTGTACCCACACCTCTGAGCATGTTGTTGTTCATGAACAGATGCCTCAGGGCCGTGAGCTGTCCCAACTCGGGCGGAATGACGCCGCTGAAGTGGTTGTCCCGCAGGCTCAGGGTCTGCAGCGCTGTCAGACAGCCCAGCTCTGGAACGATGTCTCCTGCGACACGATGATACGACCAATACCAACAAGACATCGTGGTGATATTCTTGGGGGAGGGGAAATTTTCCGCACTTGAAGTACACCTCGGTCGAGTGTTGTACGTTGCCGTGATGATCGGTGTGCAGAGTGATCGTAAGAGAGCCGCTCGGGACAGAAAAAAGGTGGGAGGTCTGTGGCCATTTTCCTGGGGGATAGCAGAAGCAACTACACGACAGCAGTTGGTGACGATGTGTAGCTTACTTGAGAGGCAAGAAAACGCTGTGGTTTGGTGTCGTGCGGACTAAACAAAGCCGCTGCAACGAGATGTCGCCATGCAAAAAAAAAAATCTGAAACCGATGAGACAAAAACTACCAGGCAACCATGCAGCTTGAGCAGCAGCTATTACATAACAACGCGCACGTTGATTTGGTACAAACTACGATGTACACGTGAGTGTGTGGACAAAACAAGCCGAGACTCACGAGAAAAGACAAAATTCAAGCAAAACTTTACCCAATTTGAGTGCACGAATGCCCGCAAGCATGAAATTGACAAGAGAGACTTTCCAGAACAACATTTGGAAAAAACCTTCATATCCACGTGCTCACCTTTCAAGTTGTTCCCTCGAAGGCTGAGGATACAGAGCTGCGACAGCTGGCTGATCGACGTGGGGATCGATCCTGCAGCAGGTTGTTAGGCGCGCCGCACAGGAGACGTTTCGTTTATCATTTTCATGGCCGTGGTCATGACGTCGCCACATCAAACCGCAGGGCGCAGAGGTGGCGGCGGCGGCGGCGGCGGCGGGAACAGCAGCAGCAAAGCTCAGCAATGACGAGCGAAACAGGAGGCGGTCAGATCACGAACTTTCGGTTAGGAACACAAACACAAGGAACACACGTAATTGACTTATGCTGGTTCATGTTCGCCCTTTTGCCTTGATGTTAAGGGGAAGACCACCTCGCCTACCCTGGCACTGCTGTTTCTCCATACGAGACCACCGGGACGCATACCTAAGCTACAAGATTGCCGGGGACAAGCAACAAGTGCAAGTTCTTTTCCAAATACACCAAGCATGATACAGACGGAGTTGACCACAAGCACGACACGTCGTAGACTGAATCGGGACGGATTCATCGGTGCGACGCCCCCGCTCCCCCCACTATCCAAAGGGATGGATGTACCACTAACTAAGGCAAGCGGCTGACGAGTGCAACCCCCCATACCTCCCTCTGACCGGGCCTCCCTTACAAAGGCTACGCATAAGTGCAGACAGGCGCGAACACATGCAGGGAATAACAAAACACCCAAACAGCGTCAAGAGCGCTCCAGGGCCGGAGATGAACCCCGCACCACAAAAGCATGCCTGCCGTGATGACGATGCATGCCCGTATCAGTCCGCGTGTTCAACCGCTGTCTCCACACCAAGTCTGTAGCGGCAAGCCCCGCCTCCAGAAACGAGGCGTGCCCTCAAACGTGAACGAACGTATGCGACGGCTGGGGACCAGAAACAAGAACGCGCGACGCTAGGGAGCCTCCCCCCCCCCCCCCCCCCCCCCCNCCCCCCCCCCCCCCCCCCGCCCCGCCAACCCCACCCCATGACCCTATGGACCCGCTGGCCCCCACTCCTCTGTATTATGCCTTGGTTAAGAAGTAGTACTACAACTCGATGCATACCTTGCAGCTGATTGTCTCCCAAGTAGAGGTGTCGAAGGTGCGTCAGGTCCCCGATCTCCGGCGGTAATGCTCCTGCGGTGGACAGTTTGTTTATGCACAGATAGCGCCCGCACTTAAGAACTTAGCAGTTCAAAAATCGAGACTCGCAAACAATCAGAAGCTAAGAACTTCAGCACCATTTGTGAGCTCGGTTAAGAACCCCAGACTACCACCTATATAGCGGCAGCCCAAAAGAGGATGATCAGCAAAATAAGAAACCCAGCCTCGGCCGAAACCAGAGGTTCTCGAGTGCGGGCGCCATCTGTATATTAAGAATATCAGGCGTGTTTGCGTCTTGGCTTGCCGTCGATAAATATTTGAACGTTTCGCCAGGCTTTTTGACCGCATGGAGACTCGTTTCAGTCCATCTGCGGGACCAATAACGCATGAAGCATGTGCGTGCGTGGTGTGCATGCTCGACGCGTGTGTATATCTTCGAGTGTGATACCATACCATCTACAACTATGATAGCATACCACCCAAGATATGATCACGGTTGGTTGTTCACGGAGCGGGTTCTGTGTTCATGCCATGGAGCGCAGCGGTTAACCCGTAGCACGTCGGAGAGAGTTCATTTCCTCATTATGCACAGCATGAACCGCACGAAAGCGAGGCCTTGACGACGGTGCAGCGTAAGAAAATAACACCGAAAAATGAAAAATCAATCGCATACTATATGCATATCCGTATTTTGGTGCAGTACCTTGGGTCTGACAACAACATGGCAAAATGATTTTTCTGCACGGTGGGGGCTGGGTATGGAGGCCGCCCGTGACACCGCACGCGTCCTGGCTGCCAGAACAGTCCACACGAACGAATGGTAAATCAATTCAATGTCAGGTGAAGGCACCGTTGCCCACGTTGTTGATACCTCCTCGACCTAATCGTCCCCTGCGACACGTGCCAAACAGTTGATTCCTCACTACTTGCCTCTCTCTCTTGTTAGAACTCGCCACGCCAGCATCAGGTAACACCAGGCGCCTCTTGCACTATTCACCGCTTACCAAAACTACAAGAGAGGAATACGCCCAAATACAGAAGTCGTTTCTGCACACAAGTCAGATTCGAACTCGAACAGCCACTTGCTCTCCCGTACAAAAAAAAAAAAGCACGGAGCTGGGCCTGTCCTCCATCGGCCGTTTTGCTTGTATGACGGAGAATAAGAAGGTGGCCGTGACGGAGCGGAGAATACAGCTAGCGTAGAACGGAGAACCGCTCCACCGCCGCTCCTCTCTGCTCCGCCCCGCCCCGCCCCGCCCCGCCCCGCCCCGCTCCATAGATAAAACATGCTGCGTTAACAACCCTGGAAAATACCATGTATCTGAAAGTGTGTCAAAGGTCAAAGGGCCGCTGTTTTGTGGATGCGCTCCCGAACGATCGCCCACGAATTAATGAATAAGACAAACTTGATGGCTCTCTCGCGAATCTCTCGCAGTACATGTAGTCTATATATATTTTCGACTTTTATTATTTTTACCCATAGACTGCTGTATCACAAGGTGGGAGACTGGTTCCTCCCCGCCGTTCGCGAAAAAACAGAATGATAAGCCAGCAACCCTTCTGCAAGGATTGGATATAGAC